AAATCATTTGATCTGACAGGCTGGAATCAGAAGACACTTTACTCTCTGAATTATGTTTTCGTTTTATTTTAAACCTTATTTCATCATTGTGAATACACACATTCCCCGCAAGGAGTCATTTTTTGTGTTGCCTCCTCCGTGGGCCCTGCGGCTGATTGGTCCAGGGCGGCGGCGCTTGTTGACGGTCTCTGGGGAAGCGCTGAGTCGCTGGTTGGTGCGATGAGAAGGGCTGTTCTCTGGCGGAGGAGCGGGGCGGGAGGACGTTGCTGCAGCTGTGGATCTCCCCCCCGTTCCAACACTATGCTCTCCAGGAGGGAATGAGCAGCGGGACTACTGCTGACATCGCCTTTTCTGGAGGAATCAACCGATTCACTCCGTGACTCGACGTCAAAAAAGGCGATGGCGTCATCCAACGAACAATCCCCTGCCATGGAAAAACACCCTTGAACAAGGCTGCTCGTCTCTGCTTCTCCTCAGGAGGGAGGAGGTCACAGGGACGGCAGGAGGAGGCGAGGTCGGCGTGGTGGGGACCCAGGCATCCTTCATAGATGTCGTGCCGGTCAAAGCTCAAAATGAAGCCGGTCTGGCAGGACGGGCACAGGCGGATGGTGCTGGACACCTTCTTTCTTCTCGAAAAACAGTGCTCGTCACGTGAAGAAAAAATGGGAGCCGATTACCCGGTCTCACCGTAATTTATATGGACTGGGGGTGAGGCCCACATAGCAGGTGGGCATGGACTAAAGTTTTTTCAGTGCTGCGCTGCGCGCGAAGGGATAAACCCACTAGCGATACCCTTAAAGTGCGAAGCATATACAAAATAGAACTGGACCGTGTTGCTAAGATAACCTCTCTGTCATCAGAACCACACTGCGAATAGGACCATGCTGCTGTAGATGTATTTATTTTTCACTTTTGGCACCTTGTTTCTGTATTTTGGTTGCATGCTTGGAATAAATCTCAGTTTATGTTAATTTTGGGGCTCAAAGCCCAACTCAGCTTGCATTAAGCATGTAAATTATTCATTCAACCTTTATTTAGACAGGTAAATCCCATTGAGCCTCAAGGACTCATTTACAAGAGAGACCTGATAAATTATAGCCAAACAGAACCTATTGTGCTGCTGTTGTTTGGCATACTGTTTTGCACTATAAGTGACCAGCATATATTTTAGGTCTTTTATCATACCACTTGGCATTCGTTTAGCGTACAACTTAGTTGATATCTTAGATCCTTATTCACTGTTTCTTTTTAAACTTTATATTTTTGCTATTGTTGTATGTAACTGGGACCCCGTGTACACAATTTCGTTCCACCTCATGTACGACATGCGATGTGAATGAAAATAAAGAACGTTGAATCCTTTTCTCAATCAACACATTCCAGTCTCAAGCTGTGTGAAACATACAGAACGACCTCTTCTTCATCACAGACCATGTAGAATCAACTTAGAAAAAAACATTTTGTTTTACAAACAAAATGATACATTCAAGTTCCTAACGTTATCATAAATTTATTCTGACCTATTTTAACCCTCCTGTCGTGTTCATCTCCCGCCCCTTACTTTAGTGTTCCCGGTCAAAATTGACCGGTCTGTTTTAACTGCTCTTAAATTAGCACAAAATCCATTTTTCACCACCAACTTTTTATTCATCATTCTTTAGCTGTGAACAATGTCTCAAAGTAGTTTAACATGAATTTATAGAATTAGACATAAAATAACTACAGTGAAAATACAAATAGGCACTGAAAATGTATTACAAAATGAACATGTAATGTAAAAAATAAATGGAAAACCAAAGACCAAACTCAACATGAAGTTGTGTGTGTGTGTGTGTGTGTGTGTGTGTGTTTGTGTGTGTGTGCATGCGTGCGTGCATGCATGCATGTGAATTCATGCACATGAGTGGCATGTGACACTCAGGTCAGTGTGGGCCCTACAAACATAGGCATCACATTTGCAGCATCTAAGGCTTGTTTTGTTGTCTCTAGGGGCACAGAGCTCACAGTGCTTCCTTTTCTGCACATGTCCTTGTTGGGGAAGAGCAGTCAGGGCAGCAGCTGGGGCTTGCACACTCCTAACCAGACTGGCAGAGGCTGGTGTGCGGGGTATGTGCTGGTGCTGTTGAATAAGAGGAGTCACCAAAGCTTTCCCCAGCCCTGCTAGGAAAAGTCTCTTATTGAAACTCTTCCCCTGATTCCAGGTTGGGTCGATGGCTGTCCACAGCACATATGCATTGAAAGCAGACACATCAAGGATGTTGTGGAACAGTGCCACAGGCCAGCGGGCTGTCATTCATTTGCAGGCGTATGTACCAGTAAGCTGCAATAAAAGGAACAATAAATAAGAGACTGGGAACAATATTGAATCTGTTGTACACAAAATGCTATGATTCATATAAATAAAAATAAAATAAAATGCTTGATGGATGAAACTTTACATTACCTTATCAAGGCAGTCAACGCCTCCTTTGTTCAGTCTCCTCAAAGTCTGGATAAAAATTTGTGTTGTCTTTCACTTCCGAGACATCATCCTCTATCTCTGGTTCAAGATCAGTGCCATCTTCATCATGTCCCAAAATCTGGACCAGAACCTCTTCGACAGAGAACCGTTTCGTCAGTTGCCTACACACTGTGCTCAGAGTAAAAGAAGTCAGTGTTTCCCCTAGATAACTTGCCATGGCGGGGCGCTCATCTCATTCGTGATTTTTGTCCGGGGGGGGGGGGGGAGGGCTGGAATGGAGACTCGTCCTCAGCTGCGCAGCGCGCTGTTTAAACCAACAGTTTTGGGGGACACAGAGACAGCCGCGTTCTGTTTGTACTGACAGTTTTAGAGCAGGGTGTGTGAGAGGACAGGCAGGAAGACACTCAGGCTGAATCCACCCGTCCCCCCCCCCCCCCCCCCCCCCCACCACCACCACCACCACCACCCCATGGCAGAGGCCCCAAAGCCCACCAGCGCACCAAGGGCCCCCAGGCTAGGGCCGGGCACCGGCGCATGCACCGGCCCTAGACCCCGACAACACACCCACCAAGACCCGAGACCCCCAGGTCAAGCCGGGACCCCAGCCCGGAAGCGACACCCCCCCAGAACCCCGAACCTGCGCCCACCCCAAAGCCACCCAGGAGCAGCCAGGCCACCAGGCCAGTAACCAGCGCCCACCAGTACAGACCACCCAGAAGCCTGCATACAGCCAGCAGAGGTCAACACCCAGAACCACCAAAGCCACCTCCCCAGTTGAGTGCCATTGTCCTGGGCCCACGACCCCCCCATTCCCCCAGCCCCGATAACCCCCACATCAACAACGATGCTCCACGGGACGAAATCAAAGGGGTTTACCCACCTCCACTACGGGTTGGAGCCATTCAAAGAAGCCCAGAGATATTGTTCTGAAGTGGAGGTACAGGCTGTCTCAAGACTGATGTAATCTAACAAAAGGTCTTTATACTGTTTAATACTAAGAGTATTTTTATTTTTCCAATTCATGAGTATAGTTTTTTTTTTTGCTATACATAAAGCAGTAAAAATCATGTGAATTGGCTTTGTCTCCAAGGTGACATCATCTAAGTGGCCCAATAAGCAAACTGACGGAGAGAGTGGAATATTACATCTTAGACACTTTGATAAGTCTTCACATATCCAGCACCAAAACCTCTGAACAGGTGGACAGAACCAAAAGGCGTGGATGTAACATTAGATGATTGGGGGGTGGGGGGGGTCGGTGCGGGGGAGAGACAGACGCACATCTGAGCCGTACGCTGTTTGTACCAACAGTTTTTGAGTGGCAGGGGTGTGTTCAGCATGAGGGTTCAGCATGAAGGAAGAGGCTGCCTTTAGCTTTTTAGCTAGTGCACTTGCATTGCGAGCCACTAGTTTAGCGTTACGTCACTGCCGACAGGTGGTTGGTGGTGAGGGTGGGGTTCAGTAGACGGGGCGCTTGGTTCTGTTGAAGGGGCGGGGCGCCCCGCTTGTATAATGGTAGGGGAAACAATGGGAGTGCTCAAGCCAAACCTCAAGCTACTGTATATATATGGGGTCTGTGTCAAGATGATACATTGATTAGACTGGAAGTTGTGGTTCACATGGGGGATGGGCATAAAAGTATGCGAAGAAAATGGGTTCACATAACAGACACCTGTCAAGTCTGTGTGAAGATATGATACATTGTTTCATCAGGAAGTTTGTGTCGGAGGATCCGCACATAAGCGCGGGAAAGAGACGTGCACCTGCAAAAGACATTGTTCAGTCTGAAATGTGTGAGTGAGTGAGAGTGAGTGAGATGGGGTGGTGTGTATGGGGATGTTTTCTGTCTGATGGATGAATATAGTCTGGATACCCATTCATTTCCCATGACGGTCACTTTTGATCGGGAACACCACAGGTGTAATAACGTTGATTAAAACACTCAAAATTCAATGAAAGAGGTGATTATCACTTTTATATGTTCAAGTGCATAGTGTTGATGATATCATAAGGCCTTGAGTCAATCAGATCTAAAACACAATATTTATGAGTGTTTTAAATTGTAAATCAGTCAGATTTGACCTGAACACAACAGGAGGGTTAATGCCTGTGTTTTTAAGGAGGATATTCTGGACGTGTATGGGAATGGACACTACATTGTTCAGGACTCCTGCACAATAAATAAAATGAATGAATGACTACATCAAAGGCATGCCCATTAAATAAATAAAAAAATGGTGATTAGAACACCAGCTATCCATGTTTAGATCATTTTAAAGTTTATTATTCAAAATGTTTCTGGATGCAGATTTAAGAGCAGGTTGCAGTGTTCATGCTGAAGTCAACGGTCTGAGCAGCCAGGTTTAATTTAGTAGCAGTCACAAAATGGTGTGAAAGAGACCGGTGTTTCTCGAAACAACAAATGCACGTCATAAACCAACGGTTTTTGAGGGCCAGTAAATAAGTTCAATTCCTGTTAATAAGATTAGATAATTTTCCCCTATAAGAATAAAAATATATTTTGGTGAGGTTGTCTCACCGTCGTTTAGCTGATGTGCCTGCATCTGAGGACTCAGCTGGTGTGGCTGCATGCTGGTGTTTAGTTCGCTCCAGGTGCTCCATGAAGCTGTGGATCATCTGGAAAACATACAGCAGAAGGGATTTACATAATTGGCTATATTACATTTTTTGTAATTACCTTTATAATGCAAACCAGATGAGAAAAAGAGGCATGAATTTGTAAGTGTAGATCAACCCACAGCAAAACCAACAAAAAAAGTGTGCAGGTGACAGCTTCTATTAGACTTTCATTTCCTTTTTTCAACATTATTCAGGTATTTAAAGTTCATGCTCAATCATCCAGGTACAAAATCCAATAATGGTCATTCAGGTCATCTGGACAGTTTCTTAATTGTGGAAAGACGTTTCGCCGTCTATCCGGAGGGCTTCATCAGTCTGAGGAGTCCCAAGTAAACTGTTTTCCCCACTAAGCAGTACACTCCTTTAGTGGACCAACCAGTTTGCTGGTCCAGATGACCTGAATGACCATTATTGGATTTTGTACCTGGATGATTGAGCATGAACTTTGATGTCTTGAACCATTTTGGCTGCGGCTGCCTGGGAGGAGTCCACAGGGGACAGGAAAGCCCCCAGAAACCATCTTATCACCCTGTCAACCCTGTCAAATGATTTTTTTCTAAGTCCACATAGAAGTTCTTTCTGATCCTCTCTGTACTTCATCACCATCCTCAAAGCAAAAGGCATTTGTCCATCGCAACCATTAATTATGCAGTGTACTGCTATTATTTTATAGTTTTCATCATGCATTTTTTTGTTGACAGAAGTATATTCATATACATAAAATTATGCTTTTTATGCCAAACCAGCCTACCTCAGTGTGTCTCTGATGAAGAGCACTGTACTCCTTCTTAAGGTCTGCTTCTCTCTCCTCAAATCTGCTAACTGGATTAAAAAAAGAGACTGTTAAAATAACAGCTGTACAATAAAATATCAAACATTTTGACAACTCTAAATAACATTGTCTGAATCTAAAAAAGTTGTCTGGTCCTCTGGACAGTCAAAAACAAAACAAAGCAAAACAACAACAAAAAAATGTAGAAACGTTTCGTCTCTCATCTGAGAGACTTCCTCAGTCTGAGGTGCTGTATTCAGCTCAGTCTCTTAAATAGCACCTTCTCAGAGTGGATCAACCAGTTTGCTGCTGACAACCAAAACCAGCTGATCACATGCTCAAGAAGGACCATCTGCCTAACAATGGATCATTAGCACCTGATGGCTGTTTACTGTTCACAGAGGGCTGAGTGATACTAGCAATCACAGCATTGTAAGAGGGGGACAGTTGAACCCGGAGGCTCCACCCCTGTTTAATGATGGATGGTTTCTTTTCACAAAGATGGCCTCCTTTACTCCTCTCTCAAACCATCGTTCCTCTCTGTCCAGGATGTGAACATCTTCATCCCTGAAAGAGTGACCGCTGGCCTGGAGATGAGTGTAGACCGCAGAGTCCTGGCCTGATGATGTTGATCTTCTGTGCTGGGCCATCCTTTTGGCCAGTGGCTGTTTAGTTTCCCCGATGTAAGACTGATCACAGCCCTCCTGACACTGAACAACATACACAACATTACTCTGTTTGTGCCGGGGGACTGGATCTTTGGGATGAACCAGTCTTTACCGTAATGTATTTTGGGGTTTAAAAGCCACTGGGACGTTATGTTTAGAAAATAAACGTCTCTGTTTCTCTGATACTCCCTCAACATACGGAATGACCACTGGTCTGGGTCTGGGTTCCTCCTTTTCACCTGATGGCTGACTGGAGTCCTGTTTGGGTTTCTTCTCTGCTTTCAGGAAGGCCCAGTTAGGATATCCACATTGCTCTAGAGCCTGTCTTGTGTGGGATTTCTTCTTCTGTCTGGCTCCTGAGCTAGTGGGGACGCTGTCTGCTCTGTGGTACAGAGTCCTGATGACTCCTAACTTGTGCCCCAGAGGGTGATGGGAGTCAAACTGCAAATACTGGTCTGTGTGGGTGGGTTTGCGGTACACCTCGGTTTGCAAATGTCCTCTATCAGAGACTGAGACCTCACAGTCCAAGAAAGCCAACTTGCCATTTTTTTCATCTTCTTGTGTGAACTTGATGTATTTATCCACAGAGTTGATGTGGTCAGTAAAATGTTGGACTTCCTGAGATTTAATTTTAACCCAGGTGTCGTCAACATACCTGAACCAATGACTTGGTGGTGTCCCTGAAAAGGACGTCAAGGCTCTCTTTTCTACCTCCTCCATGTACAGGTTGGCAACAATAGGAGAAACTGGAGACCCCATAGCACACCCATGTTTCTGTCTATAATATTGCTCCCCTATAGTTCATATCTTAGATGTTATTACTGTTTTTCTTATACATTTTATTGTTGGATGTAACTGGGACCCTGTGTACATAATTTCACTCCACCACATGTACCACATGAGGTGCGAATGACAATAAAGAATCTCTGACTCTGACTCTTACAGCTGTTGCACAATTTTTGTAGCAAATAAGCCTAAATAAAAGGGCTATGTTCTGACAAAGGAATGTACAGTATATAAAATATCGGTATCAGCATCGGTTATCGGCTGAATAAGTTGTAATATAACGGCATATTGGATAAAAATCCAATATTGCACATCCCTAGTCATGACCAGTTTTTCAAAGCATTTAGTGACTACTGAGGTGAGGGCCACTAGCCGATAGGAATGTGCGATATATACGGTACATGGTAGAAACGATAGAAATTTAGCCTACGACAGAGATCTGTCTTCTACTGGCTAACCACAGTAATGCTGTGTCTAATGTAAAATCAGAATTGTCAGTTTAATCGTTACTTTTTTTTAGTTGAAAACTGTGCGTAAGTGGTGTTAAAGTCTTTTCTTCAAGAACTAAGTAGCGAAGCTACAAGCTAACTACGGCCGGCTTGCCGTAGTGTTGCCGTATTCAGACGCATGTGCAAAACGCTGTGTTCCGTCAAAAGTTGTTTTTTTTTTCCCAGTCAAAAGTTAAAGTAAGTGTTGGTCAGCTTTAGAGAAACCTGCTCTCTGATCTGTAAAAAGAACTCTGTGTTGTGTGATTTTACTGCAAGACCCTCTGGTCAAAGCCACAGACTCATTTTGTGTCAGCTCTCTTTAAAGCAGAAGGAGGCGCCAACTAGAAGGTTGGAGGGTGAAGTGTTTCAGCGTGTACTTGCTGCTCTGTTGCTGTTCATTTCTTAAGTGAAAATACTGGAAACTGTTAAGAGTTAACATATTATTTTGTTTAAAACTTATGGCTAAAACTACATTTGCCATCTTTTGCACAACAATAAAAGCCTAATACTTGATTTGCTTATTACTTAAAAACTCTCTGGACCTAGTAGTGGAATTTTCTTAATTCAAAATAAATTATGGCAAAAGGACACCCTATGCTTTTATTTTTTCCATTCCTATTGCAAGTTGTATACCAAAAACATATTGTGATATATATCGTTATCGCCACCCTTCACAATACATATCATGATATGAATTTTATGCCATATCGTACATTCTTACTAGCCAATAGTCATTCAGGCCAGTCACTGTAGAGCTCTTTGAAACTGGGATAATTGTGGCAGTCGTGAGGCAGGTGGGAACTGTTGCCAGCGTGAGAGAATTATTAAATTTGTCAGCTAGCACCTCGCAGAGCTGATCGGCACAGTCTTTCAGTACCTTCTCCGGGATGTTGTCCGGGCCAGTTGCCTTGTGAGGATTGATCCTCCTGAAAGTACTCCTGCTGAGGAACTCTCCTTCTTGTGATAAGGTGAGTTAGGTGCTGGGTGGTTTGTTCGGGTCCTCAAAGTGTGCATAGAATATGTTGAGAGCATCTAGGAGTGATAGACCCCTAGGGCATTGTGCACCTCTGCCTTTATAATCTTAGTCCTAATGGACGGTGGACCTCAGTGAAGACTCAAACAGGTTCCCCTTAAGAATTTATTTTTGCACCATTCATCTTTCCTTTAACTCTGACTAGTCTCCCAGTCCCTGACCATTAAAGCAACAGCCCCACAGTAAGATGCTGCCATCGCCATGCTTTACTGTGCAGACGGTGCTCTTGTGTCTTTTCCTTCTCCGCAGATGAGCTCTCCAGCAGAATTAGCTTTGGCCTCTTGGTTTCTAGTCTGATTAATGTTCTCCTTGCCTGGTTTGAGTTTTGGTGGCCGACCCTTCCTTGGCAAGTTCTCTGCTGTGACCCCAAGGGTTGGAATATTTTTTATAAGACATTCCTGATTTTTTTTTTTCCTTACAACTTTATCTCCGACCCGTATAGATATTGTCTTGATCTTGAATGAACAAGAAACTCCAAGAGGATGATGTAGTGTGCTGCAAGGCTCGATTAGCTTGGTTAGCTTCAGAGCTCCACTACAGTCATATTTTAATAACGGGTTCTCTCTTTTTCGAGCTACTTGACAGATATGTGACAGATGTACTGTGTTGTCGATGGTTTAATCAGTGACGAGACGTTAATTTTCTTTGACCCATCAAAATAAATGTGGTCATTTATTAACAGAATCAAAATTTAACATCAACACATTGTACACTTGATTAGGCTGATCGGCTCTGATTAATAAAACTTGGCATGTTTTACTTAATAAAAACAACAGACATTTCTGAAGATATCTGGATTAATTACTGGCAAGTGTGTTGACGAGGAACGGCACCCTTCATCCGACTCCAGCTCAGCCCCGGTACACTCGGTAGTGAAGCGACTCGTTACCTTTGCAGAAGATAGGTCAGCTCCGGTACGGAGTTCCATTTCAACGCTACCTTTCAGCGTCTCCTCAGGATGGCTGAGAATCGTCCGAAGTAGTGACGGTACTCCGTTCAACAACACGCTCATCTCCCGGGTGGATACACAGCGAGCTGTGAGTCCGTCAGAGGTTCCAGTCAGATGTGGAAGGCTCCATAATCCCAACTAGACTCAGAAGAACTCCTAGGAACTCCAGCCGAACTCCATCAGAACCAGCAGAACTCCGTGGAACTCACGAAACTAATGGAACTAACTGAACTAACTGAACTCAGGGAACTCCAAGGAACTAACGGAACTAACAGTTCCAGGAAGTGTCTACTTTTAAAGAGTTCTGCTTCCGGTCACTTTTAGGAAGTCCTGATTGGTTGAAGGAACCAACAGGGGTGTGGTTTTAGTGACGTCAGAGGGTCATTACAAGTCAAGAAAAACAGCAGAACTGTTTAGGAACAGTTAGTTACAGACGAGAAAATATTTTGGAGAAATGACAGACTTACAGGTGCCAGTTCTCTTGTTTACTGTCTGAGAGCTTTAAAAACACGACAGCTTGTTCCAATAACTTGTTTCTTGACTGTCTCCGACTTTTGACCGACATCACTCTTCTCATTTTAGACAGAAGATCAAAAATGCATAATTACTTTGTAAAATAGACATTTAACTTGATTTCTACTTTCAATGAGGATTAAAAAAATCATTAATACCGTTTCACAGTTGATTTAAAATGAGTGGTTCACTTCAACATTTAAAAATGGTATGAACTAAACACACTTTTGATTATCAAGATATTGTAAAATAGTAATGATAATATAAAAAAGAGAGTGTTCTTTCAATTGATTAGTTCAGGATATAATTAGTCTCTGGATGAGCTAATTTGTATTTCTGGATTCAAATCAATGAAATAACAGTTCCTGTCCCATGAAGGTCTTCAGAGGCATGTTTTGACCGGAGGCCTAGTTCACTACAATGAATATTTTTGCACCTCACTGTAAATCTTTTTATATTTTACTTCAGAAATATTTAGGTATTCTGAATGATGAGAATCTATCCTTTTAATCTCATATTGATAAACTGGTTTCTAAACTAAAACTTATATTGGGTTTCTTTTATAGAAACAAAAAGTGTTTCTCACACCAAGTCAGAAGGCACCTGATTGTTTCAACTATCCTGCCCCTGGTGGTTTATGGAGATCTGCTATTTATGAACTCTTCAGCCCATACTTTTGAAAAAATTGGATGCTGTATATCATTGTGCCCTCTGTTTTATGACTGACTGTGGCTATCGAACACATCACTGCACTTTGTGTGCTACAGCAAAATGTCCCTCTTTGACTGACCGCACACTTTCTCACATATTGGTTTTTGTCTATAAATGCATCTTGGGCATCTTCCTACATATTTATGTTCACTTTTATCTAGAACTTTTAACCATTATAGTCTGCACTCTCAGGACATCATTTTGATGCAGGTCCCTAAGGTCAGAACTGAACTGGGTAAAAAGGCTTTTATGTCACCCCTGCCACTTGGAATATTCTGCAAAAGGATTTAAAGTTATCTCTTGTTACATTGGGACAATTTAAATCAATTCTAAAGGAACGAGAGCTGAGATCAGTTGGCTCCTGGAACTGCCCTAACCCTAATGTGTAATTATGTGATTTCTCCTGGATATGTATTTTGTGTATTTGGTTTAGTATTTTGGATTTGTTGTATGTTTTATGCTGCTGTCTTGGCCAGGTCACTCTTGGAAAAGAGGTATTTAATCTCAATGAGTTATTTTTCCTGGTTAAATAAAGGATGGATGGATGGATGGATGGATGGATGGATGGATGGATGGATGGATGGATGCATACACACACGCATACATACATGCATACACACACGCATACGCACACGCATACACACACGCATACATACATACATACACACACACACAAAGTTAAATAGTAAATATCCAACATAATTTGCATGCTCTCTTCAATCAAGTAGCTGGTAATACCATGCAGAAAGACAAAATAAGGATAAAATAAAAGCAAATCAAGTAAAAGAGAAGAATTTTTTAAAAGTGAAATACCGCAAGTAAGACATAATCACAGTAAATCCTGTCTGTACTGGCGCTATAAGGGCCTGGAATATGTTGTAGAAAAGGGAGGGGGACGGTAATATTATGGTAGTAATGGAGAATCAACAGACTGAGCAAGGACACTCGTCCCTGGCACATCAAGATCAGTCACTAGACCTGCAAACTGTCAGTGCTGCTCAGACCATACCTGGTCTGTGTGTGTGTGTTAAACTCTTCAATGAAACTAATAGATGTTGAGTGAAGTACACTCACTCTGGTCTGCATAGTTCTTAGTTTTTAGCTCCAGTTGTCGTGAGTGGGACTCCAACGTCGCCAGTCGACTTTGCAGATCCTTTTTCTCACCATCTTGGGAGTCTTCTAAAACGATGTACCTCTGCAGACAAAAACAGTTAAAACAGACATTTATCAGCATCACACTGGAACTAACAGGACTGACATACAGGATGATTAGTTTCTATGCGAGTCAGAAAGTGGAAGTGTCAAACGTGCATGTTCAGTCAGTTCTTTGATGTGGTGACATCAGGACAACTCTGAATTTGTTGCATATTAAAATATGTATTTACATGAGAGGGTGACAAGATATATTATATCTATATCTATATACATTATATAGATATTTTCTTTATACCTGCTGCCACAAGGTGCTATTATTCGTAAACATGGCATACCTTTTCATTTCTACGCCGATGACTGTCAAATTTAATTCCCTCTTCTTGACTGCCTGGCTGACATAAGGGACTGCATGGCATAAAATGTCTTAAATTTTAATGAGAAGAAGACAAAAGTCATGTTTTTTCTACCTAATGGCACAATCGAACCACATTTCCTCTCTAGCCCTGTTCGAGAAACAAGTTGTCACTAATCTGGGAGTAAAAAGGGACCCTTCTATGAAAATAAACAGTCATGTAAACACGATTAAATCCTGGTTTGTTTTGTTTTTGTTGTTGGTTGTTAGTTTCTTTCAGTTGAGACGACTGTCTAAGTTGAAGCCCATAATGTCCAAAAGTAATTTGAGACAGTAATACATGCTTTCATAACATCCAGGCTTGATTACTGCAATGTGCTTCTTTTTGAATCAGTCAGACCTCCATTGCACGTTTACAACTGGTTCAAAATGCTGCAGCCTGATTCTTAACTGGTACAGGTAAAAGAGAGCACATTACTCCTGTTCAGTCCTCCCTTCACTGGCTCCCAGTTCATTTTCAAATTCATTTTAAAATCCTTCTGTACGTTTATAAATCTCTGAACAGTTCTGCCTCCTCTTTTCTCGCTGATCTGCTGCAGCCATATGTCCCACAGTGCTCTGAGGTCAGCAGACCAGATGCTTTTATTGGTTCCAGGTACTTGTTTCAGAGGTGACAGGGCCTTCTCCGCTGGAGGTTCAAATCTGTGGAACGACTTACCCACTGCATGTCAGGCAGGCTCCCTCTCTCACAGTTTTTAGGTGTCGTTTGAAAACTCACTTTTATTCCCTGGCTTTTGACACGGTGCGAGTTGATTTTAACTTGTCTATATTCTATAATGGTAGTCATTTAGTTATTATCTTGATCTATTTGGATCTTTGTATTTTATCCTGTGTCCTTTTCTTGTTTTGTTTTTGCTGTACAGCACTTTGGTTGTCCTTGTTGCTGTTTAAAGGGCTTTACAAATAAAGTGGTATGGTATAGTATAAATGATGGGATAAAACTAATTTTGCTTAGAAAATGTAACTGAAAGTGGACAAACATCTAATTAAAGGCATGCATTTAAGTGACTGCTGACTCCTTGCTCAGTTTGCATTAATATTTTAGCTGATCAGCTGAGTCGGGTGTCTGAAGCAGTGCCTGTAAACAAAGTCTTGTGATGAGGGTGCTTTGTGTGGAGAAATGCCCCTGCGGCATGTGCCCCAGCACCGCTGGTATCTCAAGTTCAAATTCAAGTAGGTTTTATTGTCATTTGCATCACATGTGGTACATGAGGTGGAACAAAATTCAGTACACAGGGTCCCAGTTACATCCAACAATGGCAAAAAATATAAAGTGTAAAAAGAAACCGTAAATAAGGATCTAAGATATAAACTAAAGGAATACACTAAACACCAATAGTGCAAAACAATACGCTGAACAACAGCAGCATGAACATGAGTCTGTGTGAGTAGATAATAATAATAATGTCATCACAATGTCAGCACTGTATGTTTCCATACAATGGCGAAATTAGTCTCTGCATTTAACCCATCCACCACCAGGTGGTGCAGTGGGCAGCTATTGAAAGCGCCCGGGGGACATTTTGGGGATGAGACGTGCTGCCCAGAGACGCCACGTGATGTGCAGTGACTGGGGATTGAACCTGGGACTTTCGGGTCCCAAGCCGGCTGCCCTGCCTCTACACCTTCTCGGCCCCCGATGAGATGAGAACGAATGAATGATTTGTTTTCCCACAGTGATAATCCTGGTTAGTGATTTATGAGTCTAACAGCTTCAGGGTATAAGCTGTTCCTCAGTCTATTGGTTCTGCACTTAAGTCTCCAGAATACTCGGGCATACTTCAGTCCGCAGAGGTCTGCGTGTACTGGATTAGACTCGAAGCGGACGCCCGCAGGGCATGTCCATGCAAAGCTAAATTTTTACGACCGCGTACGCATATTCTGTGTCACACAATAAACTGACCGGTAACAGGTCTGGAGATTTCCTGGTGGGCTGGTCTGATGTGAGGGCTGCAGAGCCAGCGCTCCCTGTTTTGTTTTTTAGAACTTTTTATGAACATATAAACAAAGAACACCGCTGCGGCTTGCTGCCAGCTCTCGATTTTTAAACATTTGTTTGCAACTTGTCAATCAATCCAGTAGACGTGTCATCAAATGACCAATCGGTAAACTCAATTTGTCCCAAAGGTAAATGCCCCTTGCCTGCGGAGCTGGCTGCAGCCGCTCAGGGTGGACGCTCCAGTATGAAGTCTCGACCCTCTGCAGACAGTGCGCACAGTTTCTGCTCTGTGCGAGCCTTTAATGCTCCACAACCTTCTGCCTGAAGGGAACGAGGAAAAAAGTGTGTGCATCATCTGCACAGTGATGAGGGTCACCTGGGCATCAGGTTACAAGCAAGTCTTTCTTTAGCAAACGTCACCGAAGGTTTCTAACAATGAAATGTTGTCAAGATGCATCTCTGAGATCTCTCTCTTTAAAGAATGTCTTTTTAAACAATTCATTCATTGGTAGGCCAACATGACTCAGCCTGAGGACCCAAACTATTTTAATGTAGGGAATTTGGCATTTATTGACTCTGAAACTTTGCTTTGTGGCGTGAAAACAAAGCTATTTTGCATGAACAGTTTCAACATTTATCAAAAAGCCTATAACAAGCACTACACTAAAATACAGCTGGGAGAGTAGGTTTATTTTAGGTGTCACTTATTTCTCAGTTCAAAAAGAAAAGTGTGAGGTTTCAAGCTTTTAAACTGGAGTGAACTTCTTCATTTTTGCAAGCTAATGTCACATTCAAATCACTCTCACTCTTTTCTCTCCTGAGGGTTGTTGGTGTCTATGTTGGCCCAGACGTTTTGCTCATATTCAATGAAAGTGCAAATTTGTCTGTAACTGTGCAATGATTAGATTTACAGCAAGTAATGAAAGGTGAAACCTGAGACATGCTCCGTTTAATGTTGGTCTTTCTCATGTGACAGAGTCTTTCACACCTCTCTCAAGCTATGTTTACATGTGCAAATTTTTTTTTGACCGGATTGAAATGTTTTCAGATTAAATAATTCAAATGTATTGTTTACATGGGCACAATCTGTTCATGACGAGTGTTTACCTGCAGCAGGCTTTGTTCTGAAAAGACGCACTGACATGCACAGAGTGGTAAACTCTTTAAAAATACCACAGAAGAAGTTCTACTTCCGGGATGAACGTAAACAAACCTGAGCACCAAAATGGACCCGCGACAGGTTTTAATGACAGTGGAGACGTTGCTGCACTCCCTGACTGAGCTACAGGTGAGCTCTTTCAAAGTTTCTAGTAGAAATGTTGTTTTGCTCACTGACCAGTTTTGCTTCCCTGACATGCTAATATTATTAGCATTAGCCAGGCGGATATGACATAGTCGCACATGCACAGTCAGGTCAGTTTTTCACGATCAGAAAAAAATGAACAAATCAAGCGTTTACATGGCGTAAACCACCCGTTTCATTCTGATCACAAATTATTTAGGATCCCGCTGAATAAACAAAAAATAACCAGAACGGGGCATTTACATGATGCGTTTTTATTCTGAACGGCCGTTTGATCTGATTACTTATGTCCATGTAAACATAGCTTCAGACAGACGACATTCGTTGAGACAGCTCTTTACCATGCTGAGCCTTATATGATCCAGAGGGAAAAGGGGCTTGTGGGTACATACCTGCTTCAAAGAATAAGTGTTCTAGAGTTTAACTTGCTATTTTTCTCCAACACTGCATGTATAAGGTGGTTTTCACAGCTGATAGTCCGGTAGACTCGGTTCGGTTCGGGACCAATATTCATGACCTTTTGTTACATTTGAGCTGGTGCGTTTGCATTCACACTGCACTGTGCAGTCGAGCCAACCTGTTGAACCAACCTGTTGAACCAACCTGTTCCCCCACTCGCCTGTGGGGGCGCTGCACCAAGAACTACTGAAAGAAACGACACAAAAACCTCTCAAGACACCTCTTCTTCTTCTTCTGGAAATAAAAACAAAAATGGAGTGGCATCAAGTTTTAGCAGTTTTAAGAGTTATATTTAGTCATTTTTCAACAATGGACTCAGCATGAGCAGAAGATGAGACAGAAGACCATGGAGAATATTGTTCTATGTCGTATAAGCTTCGCCCTTTAAGGCCTTCGCTTTAGTGGGTTTATCCCGTTATGCAGAGCATAAGCACTGAAAAAATTAGTCCACGCCCACCTGCTGTGTGGGCCCCACCCGGTCCGTATAAATTACGTTAAGAGCGGGAAATCGGCTCCCATTTTTTCTTCAGCGAGCTGTAGTGAACTTAACCTGATGTCAAGACTAAGCCTAAGGTCAAAACCCTTGACCTTAAGAACCTTGTGGGACAAGAACTGTCATTTCATTGATTTGAATCCAGAAATACAGGTTCACCCATCCTGAGACTTTCTTTCTTGAAAATTCAAGTGGAAGAACACTCTCTTTTCTATTATCATTACTATTTTACAAATGTTGATAATCAAAGTGTTTTAGTTCAAACCATTTTAGATGTTGCAGTGAACTAATCGATTTTATTAACTGAAACAGTGTAATGATTTTTAATTCTCATGCAAAGTTAGAATTCATGTTAAAGCTGTTACAGAGTAATTATGCATTTTCTGATTTCTGTCTTTGAATGAGCAAGTGTGCGTTTTTCAGGGTCAGGAGTC